GTATTCTGCACATCCTGCCATGCCTCCTGGTCTCATGTGTTATTTTTGTGTGCACTTTTGGGACCAGCCCCTCTACTATTTATCCTTTAAATATACGCTAGAGGGGGTACCCGGGTCTGTCTTTCTGGCTTCCATCTATCCATCTATTTGTCTATTTATCTATATCCAAATAGCTATACATCCATCTATCCATTCACTTAACTTGTCTTTATCCATCTATCCATCCATATATCTATCCCACTATCCATCCACCTACTCATATTTTTATCCATATGTATGTCCATCTATTATATATATATTTATAAATCAATCTATACATCACTCCACCCATCTATCCTATTTCTCCGTCTATCTATCCATCCATCGACAGATTGACAGACATTTTCTCTTATGGTAAAGATATGTGTGCCAGTGAATTACTTTTGGTCAGGTTTTGGATTGAATGTCAATCAACCTCTGGAGAGTTACTAAGTCAACCACAAGTGCTTACTGACCAAGCTGTATCAAAATGTTAGATCTGAACACGGTCCAAATATATATAATTTTTGTTTTCCTAGATTTTTTACTTATTTGTATATAAGTTCTGATACTAAATTATTAGAAATATTTACAAAATCGAATCTAAATTATTAGTTTTGTTTTTATCATGAAAATACATCAAATTATCACTAATGATAAGTCTTATCATTATCACTAATGACTTATCATTAGTGATAATTTGATGTATTTTCATATTTAAAGTATTATAGAAACATTTTTGTAAACCTCAAAGATCTAACTGGGGAAGAACTTTGATGCATCACCTGTCCACTATTGATGAAATATGAATACTCAAGTCCCCCCGGCAAGAGTTCGAGTAGACTCTTCATTTTGTGTCTCATGTTGGAGTCACCATAGAAAGCGATCCAGGTGCCGGCTGCAGCACTGACTGCCCTAGTCGCAATGCACTGGTCGACGTCGCTCTCATCATACAGCCGGATCTGGCGGATTAGATGTTAGTTAAAAGCAAAATATAACATGATTAATTTATTGAGTTATTGTATGTGGTCGTACCCAACCCTTCCTTTAAGCCTTGCTCGTTCATGGAGTGGTCGTACCCAACCCTTCCTTAAGCCTCGCTCTTTCATGTAGTGACCTTCCCAAACACCTCTTATAGTCAAACTTGGATAACCTTGCATGGAATGTAAGGGACGGAGCCGTTCATCAGATGAAGTCGAGTGTCTTGGCGGGCAGAAGATGCCTCACTACCGCTATCGTTAGTTAGGTTCCTGTCTGAAGGCAACAGGGAGCCTAACTTGTGGCTCAGCTCCTTGTAAGGTGAATCTGCAACAAAGAAACTCAGCTTTACCAAATACAGCTGTCATTGCTACATATTATTAGTGTCAAGTTTTCCGCTTGCGTTATTAAAGATAATTTTGAGTTTAGCGCTGAAATTAAGAATAAATTATTCTTGCTGATTGGTCAGTAGGCTATTATGGTGGCCTTAATAACCCTTGAGAGGTTGATAGGTCTTAAGCACAACACCACACTAGTGTCATGTGGATTTACAAGGTAAGGTTAAAGCATTTATCAGGAGGAAACGCAGAGCACACTTATGTAGCATATGGAACATGAAGAGTGAAGAACAGTTAGATCATCGGGAATTAAACTCCAACCTGCAAGAAGTGAAGGTTTTCGCTACACCGATCTATCAAATTAAAAAAATATAAGGTATATGCAATAGCAAGTTAATATGCCCAAAATATTTGTTTAAATATAAGCATTCCGCTTGTGGCAATAATCTATAAGATAGAACATCTGCTTGCCTTTCTGTTCAAAGTTGGAGACCAGACGCTTGGGTTAGAAACCCCCAAAGTTGTAAGGGGGAATGGTCTGGGGAACGGGATGGACATAGGGTGGGCCTGGGACTCCATAATTCATGAGTGGACAGCGTGCCAGGGTCACATTCTGACACCCACGATGATTTTGGCCGGCTACACCTATCAAAATATTTTGAAAGCTAACATTCCGAAACAATTTATTTTTATTATAGAGAGAGAGAAAATAAAAGAGATGGATAATACAGACCTGATAAGCTCTTAATAATGAAGAAATAACAAGACAAGGGTAAACTTCTGCACCAGACGAGAGTTTGTTAGTAAACCTCATTATAGTTAATGGAAGGAACGAACTGAGGGTGACGGGATACTAACCCGAGGTCCATATGATGTCTTGACCACCTTTATTGACGGAGAACATTGCTTGACACACCTGAGGAGGCTTCTGTAGGTAGGCTTCGGGGGCATGGCTTGGCAGTGTTGCGTGGTGAATGGTGAGGTTTAGCTCCTCGGAACCCAGCTGATGGTGAGTGAAAATGATCACCATTATCACCAAGCAACAAAGTACACCAACACTCCATTTGTTTTCGTTCACTGTTAAAGTTGTTCTCATTTTGCTGTTTTATGTTTTAATAAACATAATATTTAATGTTTTTGAATGCATAACTTCCGCGAGAACTGCATAAGCTTAATAAAAACTGCATTCAAGCGTCTGGAATGAATGACGAGTGAAGATTACATTCCAATTACAATATGACACGACTCCAATTACTCAACACAATGAGTAAATAGATACCCCACACGCTAATCCAGACGCCATGGATTACTTATTTCTCTACAGGATATGCAATGTTACACGTTGAATATTCGACTGTTTAATGAGCAGCGGGTGTGGGTTGGATCCGCGTGAGCTGGACCGGGAAAGTAAGTCTTGAAATACAGCACCTTTACCTGCCACGCAGGCGAAAACATCCAGGAAAAGTAAGTAAAAAACTGGAGGTCTAAAACTATTACTGTTTTTTTATTATTTATCATATTTCTCTGATAATCATAAATAGTTTATGATAGTTTTTCTCTCATAAACAAGTACCCGCAGTAGCCAAGGGTATCTGAATTACCACGAATTTGTATTGAATTTCTACCTAAAGAAATTATCTCTTTAGATAGGGAGAGAGTGTACCTCTCATACATCTCTCATGTATGAGAGGTACATCTACATTCCCAATGTAGATGTGCAAGTGGTCCTAGATCATGTTTATGCTATCTTTATGCCTAGCATTATTAGTATTCTCTCTCTCTCTCTCTCTCTCTCTCTCTCTCTCTCTCTCTCTCTCTCTCTCTCTCTCTCTCTCTCTCTCTCTCTCTCTCTCTCTCTCTTTCTCCCTTAAATAATAAAAATGTCTAGCATTGCATGTGGGTGGTAGACCTGTGGGAGGAGTTTAGCAGTGTGAAATATAATAAATATTGAAGCTATCCATTCGTTTTAGGAGAGGGGCGGGGCTTGAGAAAGCTTCTGAGGCTGTGGAAATACAATTAATTTTATATTATTATGGCCAAAGTAAGAGAGGAGAATATGTAAATATTTTCGAGATCAGTGAATAATGATGTATATTTCAAAAAGAAAATTATTTGGGGGAACTTCAGTTTTCAAAATATTTTGATAGGTGTAGCCGAAGTTCAGTGCCAAAAATCGTCATGGGTGCCAGAATATGACTCTGGCATGCTGTTCCCTCTTGAAATCTGACGTCCCTGATAGACTTATGTCCGTCCCGTATCCCAGACCATTCCCCCTGCAAACTTGGGTTAGGCTACCCACAAGCGTCTGACCTCCAACCTCTAACCGACAGACAGACACATTCTCTCTTATAGTATAGGTGGCAGACGAGATCATATTGGTCTGTGGTCGATAAAAAAATAGAGCACCAGCAATATTAAGAGCCAAGTGGTCGAAGATTGTTCCCAGCGTGGAATTAGAAGCAGTTAATATGAAATCCCTGGTATGAGGAGCTTACACAACAAGGAAATGTGCTTCATCTTTCCTTCAAATTGTGTTCAGCATTGGTAAAGTAATATTTATCACTATGGGTCTATCCCATTGGTTTTTTTTTTACATTATTTTGGAAATTGGTCGAGGTGAAGTGCCTGAATGAATATCCCACTAACTGACTCAGTTAGTGAACTTGGGATCATTAATTGAAATGAAATATCTTAAGTGCTCTCATAGGATCTCTCACTAATTCACTTGGAACACAAACAAGGATAAAAATGCAACCAATGCTATCTGCATTGCCTTGGCGACACCTATACCATCAAGTCTAAATGTAACTTTTACAGAGAATGAGTAAACACTCATGGATATAGCTTTCAGAAGTTTGTTATACACTCTTAATTTTAGACGGTCAAATGAGGGTGTGCACCTCAAGAAACAGGTAATCCTGGGTAAAAACCTGGCACTTTCTGCAAAGGATCAAAACTGCTAATTCTTTCTTATGTCCTTCTCAGGTTGTTCAGTTTTTCTTCGAGGATTATAGTATTGTATTCGGACTCAGAGTGTCCTTAGAACTTTGTCAGTTGGGGAATATACCTGAGGACCAGCCCACATACTGAGCTGGTCCCCACATACTGAGCTGGTCCCCCACATACTAATCAGGTCCCCACATACTAATCAGGTCCCCACATACTAATCTGGTCCCCACATACTGTTCTGGTACCCACATACTGAGCTGGTCAACAATGTTGTTATAATATTCGGAAAGGATTTTCCTGGTCACTGGCCGGATGAGACAAAAATAGCAACAGCCTTTGAGGATGTAGAGAGAGAGAGAGAGAGAGAGAGAATCACGGTAAGGAAAAGACAATATAACTCCAGTCGGTGACATAATTATTGCAAGTGCAGTTCCTCGTTAGTGCTGTGTAGATGAAGTCTCTTCATCTATTTTATCCAGTAACGTGAAGATATGATTGCATCACACTTGTAAGTGAATTGAAAGACTTTCGTAGTTCTTCATGAAGCGTGTTGATGACGGAAGCTTGCATCCTACCTCGGTAATGCTGAATTTCTGCTGAGTCCGCAGTCAGAATATGAAGCTTGGCGAGAGGAGAGGGACTCAGAGTATGTCAAGAGAGATAATTAACTATAGGATGAGTAGGACATTTCTGATGTGTGTGATGGTAGTTATGACGATGACTGTGGTTGTGTACCTGCAGACGAGTCGCCACGTACCAACACATACAGCCGCTGTGGCCACGTACAAGCGGCCAGGCTACGGGAGTGTCACGTACAGCCCCAGGAACTCTCGTCAAGAGTGTAGGGCAATGTTTACTGTTGATAAACAGGAAACTGTGTGGACCTCAGGTAAGCCACTCTATAGTTTCTGAAATATTCTCTCAATCTCTCTCTCTCTCTCACTACTTCTCTGTCAGATTCCAGAGGGATTTCATCTCCCACATATCAAGCATCCGGCCTCCTATTTCCCGTGCACAGTTTCATTACTTTGCACTTGCTACAGCTGGACTCTTGCAGCCACTTGATGGGACCAGTCCTTCATTTGTGCAGGCCCTCCTGCGGTCTCGTACGGTCCTACATTGTATTTATTCTCATAATCTGTTCATTATCGGTGCATATTGAAAGGAAGGGATGTTTTGGTATCTGTGTATATAATTGTACATTTATTTACTATATGCAGCTACAGAATCGAGTTGTTAGCTCTTGAGCTCCAACCTTGTGTAGCCTTCGGTTGATTTATGTTCTTACTCCTGACCTATTTACGTTTTCTTCCGATACACCCTACGAGGAATGACTCATAAATGAATATATTCCTTCTTCAGATACACCCTATGAGGCTTTACGTCGCCAACTCGCCCCATTGGTGGATTTCAATAGTAGCCCCAAAGGTTCCAATGTGAGCTCCACGACTGCTGTCTACGAGGGACTTCGTTTAAAACTGATGAATGGTTCTATCCCTTATGTTCCATGTCAGGTGCGTCTCTGCTACATATACGTTCTTAGAATACCTGTTCTCATTATTGACGTGGTTTACATTTGTAAGGACTTCTACTCATTCATCAAAGTAAACCGCGGAAAATAAGAATATTTTCCGCAGTTTACCTTGATAATGGTATATATATATATAATTTTGTCGCCATTGTCTCAGAGACACTTGGTGCCTGTGGTAAAAGTGCTGCTAGTTTCTTTAAGGAGCTGGGTTCTAAGCTAATTGAAACAACTAGAGACCCTAGAGCCGCCAGTTTCCTCTTTCAGCGCCTTAGTGTGGCGATGCAGAGAGGAAATGCACACTGCATCTATGGTTCCTGCCCGTCATCTGAGGAGCTGGAGGAACTCTACAACCTGTAACAAGTAGCCTTGTATCTTGCATCTAACCAATGTAGTAGCCCTGTTGTAAGGGGGCTGGTGGAAGACAATATATGAGTGTACGCGGATGCCTAACAAGGTTCCCCCGGATACTGCATGTCGTCTTCGAAGTCGAGGGTCCCTACAAACGCAACCCTATTTATATATATAATCTTTTTCTCCTGACACCAGATCCGGATGTATGAAGCGAGGGATGTAGAGGAATGTATGACAGCCAGGCGAGCGAGAGGCTTCGGTACATGGATAGCTTTCTACGGTGACTCGACTATGAGGCAAAAAATGCATGTACTCCTTAACTTCTTGCCCCCTGGACTCATCTACTCGTATTTCCTCAATGGGATACAGGTAAACTATCCATTGTCGTCTCGTTGTTGTGATTATTAATTCGAGGACATGTCCATGCTTGCATCTGTCTGTCTGTGTCTCGCTGTTCGAGATTGGAGACCAGATGCTTAGTGCACCCTGATTTCTGCTGTCTATGTGCACAATATATATATATATATATATATATATATATATATATATATATATATATATATATATATATATATATATATATATATATATATATATATATATACACCTCTGCGATATATGCTCTATATATTATACCCCTACATAAAAGCATATAAAAAAGCATATATTATGCTTTTTCCAGGTTACTCTTGAGGAGTTTATCACCATTGTGGCGCATCAGCTTGAATTACGCCCAACCATCTTTGAGATACTTGGCCATCGAGCGAAAGACTTCCCTACATCACAAAAGTTCCAGCCGACCCTGGACTCCTTACAAGGCAACGACGTCAGTAATGTTACTAACCATTATAATGGATTTACCATCCATATCGGAAACAACTTCGAAACTAACATTAAAATCGACGCTGAGAGACTCTCTGCACTATTTTTAACATCAAACAACGAGCCCACAGAGAAGCAGGATCATGGGGCTTACGAAGTACGCGTTACCTTGGTTTGGGCGACGTGTGGAAGTCGTTCGGGTGAGGGCCGAGACAGAGACGCTCCTAAAGTCACCAAGTTACAGGAATGGGCCCGAGCCGATGTTATACCTGATATTATTATATTAGGTGAGTGTAACCAGTATAGTTGAGGATCATATATCAACTTATTTCTTATTTTACTTCCTTAACTCTGCTCGCCATTCAGTTCCCTCTGGTTGGGTATAAACTGTTATTGGCCCTCATGTTGACAATTGGTCTTCAACAAGGTCCGTATTTCTAATCCTCTTATGTCATCGAAACTAAAAAAAAATCCAAATTTTAATGCAGTCTTCATGATTAGCGTCATTATTATTATTATTATTATTATTATTATTATTATTATTATTATTATTATTATTATCATCTAATATTGATCATAATTTAAAGAAAAGAGTTCCTTAAATCCTTTATTATTTTGTTGTGGACATCTATATCACTCATCCTGTCCAAGAATTTCCCAAAATACTCGTTTTAACCATCTTTTTTGTCCAGCTGTGGCACGTTTGATTACATTATTTTGAAGGATCCCCTTCCCTCTTTCCCTTTCCCCCCTTCCCCTTTCCCCCTTCCCCCTTCCCTATTTTTTCCTTTTACGCTCTTTTTCGGTATACCGAAATTCCTAAACGAACATAAATTTTCAATAGAATACCCAGGTTAGTGTGAGATCGCAGGCCTTTCCTAGAGGAAGGGGGCAGCTCTCCAACTCTGCCACTACGCCCTGGAGACAATTGCCATGCTCTGTGTGTAACTCTGTGTACCTAGCGAACGATGAGGCACATTAACGTGGCTGAAGATATGATAACCAAACCAACACATCAGAAAATGGAGAAACGACGACGTTTCAGTCCGTCCTGGACCATTATCATGTGTGTTGCCGTTTCTCTATCTTCTGATATGTGGTTTTGGTCATATGTGTACCTACTCTCTTCTTCAGGCTTCGGGAAGTGGTTTCTGCATTTGCGATACTCCAGTGGCGAACTGGATCCATTCACCGAGCTGGACTTTTGGACGAGGCCTCTGGTGGAGCCCTTGACCCTCCTCGCTAATAGAACGCGGGTTCTTCTTTTGGCTCAAAGCAGGTGAGTCGAAGTAGGTGGCGCCAAGGCTGAACCAACCTTTTTCGTGTGTGTTAAAACTCTTAATATTATTATGTTTAGATTAGAGTATACTTGGTCAGGTTGAGTAAGGTTAGATACGCTTCAATAATAATAAAAAAATACGGTTGTTGAGCACTCTTAAGCTTCACAGTAATTCAAACTAAGCTGGAGATTAGATCACTTTTTGCAGCAGATGAAAAAAGATAAGGCAGTGTTGGGTAGTGTACTCCAGCTTTGTCAACCCCAAACAGTGTACCACAGGGTAGTGTAACCCACGGTACAGTACCTCAGGGGAGCGAATCGAATGGTACTGGTACACTACCCCAAAGGTAATGACACAACAGGTGATGCAGGTAACACTTACCTCACTGTTACAGATCGCGGAGCTATAACTTTGTAAACAATTATGTAAGCGGAGAAGACAAGCAAAAAGTGTGGGATACAAAGCTGGAAACGACAATCTACTCGGACAGCCTCCCGCTGATAGACACCTGGTTTGGGGTCTTACTCAGGTAAGACATTGATTCATTGATGAAGATTTAAGCCATCCAAGAGGTGGCACGGGCATGAATAGCCCGGACAGGTAAGACAATTCGCAGCATCTTTCCTGTAGCAGTGCCTGATGGCCCCAACTCCCTGATGCCCATTAACTGGAGGAAGCTTCATAACATGCGCTTAGAGGACAGGTTGCTCCGTTTGAAACAGCGTATAAACTTAGCCCCTTAACTAAAGACTCCCTCTATTTCCCTCCCTACGGCTTAAATTAGTATCTGATATACTTATGTCCTTTGCTAAATTGTCCCAAGTTAAAACAAATCAATTTGTAACTTCGTGTTCTCCTCTTTTCAAGCCTTTGGGTATTTCTCTTATTTCCGATAGCAGTCAGTAGTTACCGACAATTAGGTTGAACAGAGCTGACAACGCTGACGAAGACATCCAATATCAAATTTATTGAAGATGACATTTCAAATGTTTGATGACATTTCTTTATGACTGAAGATAATCCTTTTTTATGATATTATTGTGTAAAATCAATAGTTATTCACATGCCCATACATTATCGTAAGTATAAGAGACTCAGAAGTTGAATTATATTTCTAATGATATTCGCGGAAGAGCTGGCAGTGAAGTTGCATCCTGAGAGTGCAACATGAAGTGAACAGGCACTGCTTGCAGACAGTGAAGTCACAGGGAGATTAGGTGCTAAGCATCGTTCAGTGCACCTCTTGACCAATATAACTCTTATAATCATTAAATCAATCTTTTACAATCGACTTGAGAATGGTCCAGGACGGACCTAAACGTCGTCGTCCCTTCATTTTCTAGTGTGTGGATTGGTCAACAATCATTAAACTTTACCCCAACAGGAAAATGTCAAGGAATAAAGAAGTCGAATAGGAACATAGAAAAAAACAGATATAAAGAAAGTATATAAATTAATGATTGTCTCAAAAATGATGACTTAATTCCCAGTAGGTATTTAGTGGTGGCAATACTTATCATTTTTGTAATAAACTATTGAAAGGAGATTTCTTCCTCAGGCAAACGGGAGTGTGGCTGTGGGACTCGACCTTACCCTTCAACCTGGCCAACATCTTGGAGTGCAGTACACTCAAGGAGAACAACTTCTTCGATAATTCTTTCTACACAGGTGAATGTACATCACTGCTACAGGTACAGTCTCAATCATCTCAGAGGACAGGTAGTGGATCTTTATCTAGAAAGAATGCCGTGTTTATGGGAGATCGCCATAAGGTACACAAAGAAACGATGTTGACCAGACCACACACTAGAAGGTGAAGGGACGACGACGTTTCGGTCCGTCCTGGACCATTCTCAAGTCGATTGAGAAACGTCGTCGTCCCTTCACCTTCTAGTGTGTGGTCTGGTCAACATACTTTAGCCACGTTATTGTGACTCATCGCCTGCAAAGAAAGGATGTTTCATTGTTTCAATGATGTACACAATGTTTCTAAATTGTGATTTAATAGTTGCAAACGCCTTTCCTTGCAGGTCGCTGGTGGATGTGTACGGACGCCAACCACGCCTCCTTTGAGACCAACGCTAATGAGCTGCAGATGATGTTTAACTATATGTGTAACAACTACCTGAAGACATCTCAGCAGTATTGCTGCTCGGGCAACCCGTCCTTAGGCCAGGCTCGTTAAAGCATCGGCCGCCCCCGTCCCTCCCGAGACGATCTGATCAACTTTAATATACTGTGTATTAAAAATAGGTTTGTTCTCATGTGTAAATTGATGTAATTATTCATTAAAATTCTGTGCATAGTTAGGTGTAGGTTAGGTAAGGTGTTTAGGTTTTGTTGGCGATTATTTGTACTTGAATTACGTGGGTGTGTTATTTCAACCCGTACTCAGACCAAGGGAGAGATTCAGGAAGCAGTTACGCAAGCACTTACGAACCTGTCCATCTTTTCTCAATCTTTGGCGGCTTTGTTTACAATTATTAAACAGTTAATGAGCTCCGAAGCACCAGGAGGCTATTTATAACAATAACAACAGTTGACTGGGAAGTTTTCATGTTTGTAAACTGTTTAATAAATGTAACCAAAGCCGTCAAAGATTGAGGAAAGATGTACACGTTAGTAAATACTTGCGTAACTGCTTCGTGAATCTGGCCCCAAGTCCATTCCATCCAGTGGTCGACCCCCAAAGACTCATTCATCCATTTTAACATGCTGTACATTCAGAACAGAAGTTCTCTCATATATAAATTAATATTATTATATATTAGCATCCTGTGCATATTTAAGCATTGGTTAGGTTAGGTGTTTAGGTTCTCTTGGCGATTATTTGTATTTGTAGTACGTGGGTGAAGCATTTATAGCGTTGTGATTCGAACAAAATTCGTCAGTGAAGCACTTGTTCCGGAAGTGTTCGAACGTCATCAGTTGTGAGTCGTGTGTAAACCGATTTTTATTCGTAAACAGGGGGTTTTGCGGGTGCATGGAATAGACTTTGGGTCTATTCCATGATTCAGAAACAGAAAGTGACTGAAACATAATCGCGAAAAACTTGAAACGTCGTCAATATTCAGTCATGTGCAATAGTTGTTGATTTAGAAGTAATGATGACCGGAACATCATTGCAAAAGCTCAACCTTATCAACAAAGGCCAAATGTTCGTTAATCCAGCCGCCAAAACCTGTTTACAAATGAAAAAACACTTCACACGCGACTCACAACTGATGACGTTCAAACTTTTCTCGAACAGATTCTCGTTCACGTCGTCTGTTCGAATCGTTCTTCTGTAAGTGCTTCACCCACTCACTACAAACACAAATAATTGCCAACAGAACCATAACACAAAACCAAATACACCAAATTCTAATACATAAATTATCATTAATTTATATTTGAGAAAATACCAATTTTGAAGACGCGGTTAAAATTGATGAGTACACGTCTTTGGCGTCAGGGGTAGCCTAGCCTGAGGGCGGTTTGTTTACAAAGAGTGTTACATTCATAAACAAGTGGTCGGTTGCGGCTAGAATAATGAGCACTTGGCTAGTGTCTGTGTTGACGGGCGGGTTTACAAGTGCCTATTCTCAACCCTGTACGAAGGTTTGAATATTTACAAGGGTCTAAATATTTAGTGTTTTTTCAAAACTAATTAGAGATGGGGTTCTTTGAGTCTGCGTCGATGACTATACGACTTAAGGAGGTAGGCTAACACACACACACACACACATACACACACACACACACACACACACACACACACACACACACACACACACACACACACACACACACACACACACACACACACACACACACACACATACACATACACACATACACTGGGGTCTGGTTGGTGAGTGGATAGCGCGCGGGACTCGTAATCTCGGGGACCCGGCTTCGATTCCCGGTGCCGGTAGAGACAAATGGGCAGAGTTTCTTTCACCCTGATGCCCCTGTTACCTAGCAGTAAATAGGTACCTGGGAGTTAGACAGCTGTTACGGGCTGCTTCCTGGGGGTGTGTATGAAAAAAATGATCGCTGATTGACAGTTGGGAGGCGGGCCGAAAGAGCAGAGCTCAACCCCCGCAAGCAGAACTAAGAGAGAACTCTCTCTCTCTCTCTCTCTCTCTCTCTCTCTCTCTCTCTCTCTCTCTCTCTCAGACACTGGAAGAGGCTAGGACATAAGGGAATTAATCATAAATTACAAAATATCTCAACGTGTTGCCCTTTTGGAAGAGTAAAGTTTATTTTAAATATATAGAATTAACTTCACTCCGAGCAGGACTGGAATGATTGGTCATGTTTCCTTTCACCTGATGCCTCTATTCATCTAGTAGTAAAATAAGTAGCCAGGTGATAGGCACCAGTGTTACGGGCTCACCATAACCCGTGCTACATAGAAATTTTAGTTCTTAGTTGCTAAATCTAAAACAACATAGGCAACTGTTGTGGGTTAAGGATGTACAGGTTTCGTTAGTTTGTTGCGTAAATGGTTGACGAATCATGGCGAGTTAAAAAAAAAAGTGGGCGTGGTTCACCCACTCTCTATAATTGAAGAGTTAGTCGTAAACCTTTGAGCGGTTCAGCTCACTTTAATTACTTCACCTTCTTGGATAAAAAAAAATAAAAACGAATTGAAACTAATCAGTCACAAGTTATGACCCTCCGTCGATCTGCGTTTCGATTTTTTTTTTTTTTTGGAGGGGGGGGGGGAGGGGGGCAGGGAAATTCCTGCGCGGGCCCTAAGCCTCTGGCTGGCCCACTAAAAACGGTTTTGTGTTGACTCTAGATATGAGTCATTTCACGAAAACGCTTACTCGGCCTCTCTAGCACACACAGCACCGTTCCTGTGCCAGGTAAGTCCACTACGGGCTCACCATAGCCCGTGCTACTTGGAACGTGTTCCGAGTAGCTGAATCTATAACAACAATCATCACATTACGGGCTATTCATACCCGTGCCACCTTTTGGGTGGCTTAATCTTTATCAATCACTCAATCGGCCTCTCTAGTGTATGTGTTAACTGTTTGTGGTCTGATGGTGTGTTTGAGGAAGGCTTCACAGCCGGGCTCTGAGATACCTCCATCAGAGAAAAATGTGGCAGAACGAGTCTTGGACAGGAAATATTTTTTTTTTTACCAACCGGACGAGCGGATTGGACAAATGAGGTACGCAGTTTTACGCAGTTATTTACATTACATTTACATAAACAGCTGTTTTGGTTTTAATTTTCAATCTACTATGACTTCAAACTCTACCTCCATTGTCAATAAATATGTGAAATTACAATGATGTGTTAAAATCAACGTCTTTGTTTCGGAAATGTTAATTGGAATCCGTTTTTTACACAACCCCCCCTGCACCCGAGCTATGTCAATAGGCCGTTCTCCCTCTTCGCCCTTACACACAGAGAAGTTAAGCCTGGTATGTGCCTCGGAGAGGTTACGGGATCCAGTAAGTTCAGTTGGAATCCGTTGCCTGTTGTGGTAATACCAACGGCATTGCTGGGTACTTTCTCCTGTTTGTGATACACTGAAGGAATGGGTGGTATGATGGTAGTGGCGGTTGTTGTGGTAATGGTGGTAGGAGTGGTGGTGGTGGTGGTAATAGGAAGCACATCACTAATAAAGCTTTGTTAGTGATTTGCTTCTTGGTGGATTCTTGTAAGTTTATTTACGTCCGTCTACTGTCTACTGTCACCTCTTGCGTTGCTGTCCCTCACACACAAACACACACACACCCATACCTCTCTCTCTCTCTCTCAATGCTGTCAAGAGACAGGAAGGTCCTCGTAGCCTTGTAACACACGACGGTTGTCACTGGCTCTATAGCCAGCTCCTGCGTCACTCTAGGGACGCAGAGTGGCACCCAACATGCATGTGAAGTGCCATGTCAAGACATGCCACTTAACACACAATACAGAAGATACATACTCTGACACATGTATCCCGTTTCTCGTTGCATATGCACTGAGAGTTAACTGTACATGTGGACTATGACCAGGAGTAAAGTATTCATTCCTGGATTGTCAGTAAGCACTTGTTGTTCTTAATAACCCTCCAGATGTTGTTGGGCCGTCAGCCCAAAGCCAAACAAGCTTGCGATAGTCTTAGCGATTCGAGAAACCGATTGACTTTGTCTTATATTTTACGAGTGGGAGAGAGGTATGTCTCCTGTCAATAGGCCGAGAACTTTCCCTTTTCATAGGGAAACCACAGTTGCCTGTCGGTAGCTGTTCTACTCCTTGGCCAAGCCTCCTCTAGCTGCGCTGCCCTCTTGGCCAGGCTGCCCATGGCATCGCGGGATGATGTATTTCATCAAATTTGCATTTCAGTACTGGCCGCTGAACGTGAAAGTCTGAAGATAAATCGCGAATATTTGTTTCCTTCCTCGATCCTCGCCTCACGTCCAGGAGAAGTGCGCGTCCAGCAGGTGCAAATATTTACTATTGAAATTGAACTGAAATTGAAATAAGTTTATTGAGGTAAAATACACACAAAGGGATGAAGTAGCTCAAGCTATTCTCACCCCGTTCAGTACATCGTGTTAATACATACATAGACACACATCACAATAAACGTATTACCAAACATTCTGAGAGATAAACATATACATTTCCTCCTTTACACAAGTATTTTCTATTTGCTTCTGCTATTTGTGCTTGCAGGATCGAGCTGTTAGCTCTTGGAAACACTCAATATGTATAGTCTAACAGGAGGTAATACGGATATAACATCCACTGTGTATATTCTAAGAAATTTCACCTGAAAACGTTCAGGTGACTGTTTTCTGATTCAGTTTTAACACTTCGGTGGGCACAGACAACTATACATTTCCAGCTGGTCATCATTTCTGTATTATTCAACGATAATTATCGTTCATGTTTTGGGTCATAAACTAGTTACTGAAATATGGACTCAAGAGCTGATGGGTAGCCGCGGAGGACCCGATGACACGTCAAGGTCTGTAACTATGCTCAACCTGTCCTCTTAAAAAGAACGTCGCTTTTGGCCGTTTGCCAGTATGGCCGAATTTGGACGTAATTTGAAAATGAAAAAAAAATGAAAATAAATTTGAGATTTTTTTTTTCAACAACAGTAAGTTAAGGGTCCTCTGATAGGTTAGGTGGGCAGGAAATTCTCATAAAGTTTCAAAACGTTATGAAAAACGTTAATTTAAAGTGTCCTCTTATAACCTCTGCGCGTACGCCGGACGACTCAAACAGAAAACGGAACAGAACGTCACTTTTGTGAGTCGATTTCATTTCAAATTACGTCCAAATTTGGCCATAGTGCGCATACCAGCCAAAAGTGACGTTATTTTCAAGAGGACGGGTTGCAGCCCTGACATCTCACTCGCAATTAATGTATTAGTCTCCCCTGTTAGTGTTCTTTTTGGCCAGTTTATTTTACCTGTCAGAAAACATGATTTTTTACAATTTTGTCTACAAATTCTGATGTATTTAATATATTATAAAGCATCGTAAGTGACCCTGGTATGAGGATTTTAAGTGTGTCACTTATTTTTGCTAGATTTAGGCCTATAAAGGCTAAGAGTCATATATGCTTAGACTTATGCTTAAAGTTATACATGTTTAGAATTACACATGTGTATATATATATATATATATATATATATATATATATATATATATATATATATATATATATATATATATATATATATATATATATATATATATATATATATATATATATATATATATATATATATATATATATATATATAATGTGTGTGTGTGTTTAAGGAACACAGTCGAAACATATAAAAATGTATTTTTACCTAAAATACCAAATATTTCAATACCAAATATTTAATAAATATCTAAAAGAAAAAAACATAAAATATTAAATTGATATAATGCTTTAAATAAACCAATAAGAGATGCCAGTGTCCATCTGATGTGTTAGTTAACCATCCTGCCTTGTGTTAACGATAACATGCACATGATAACAAGCATGTAGGTTCACTCTCCCCATGTTTAATATAGTTATGGACAAAGGGGGGGGGGGGTATGATATCGAACTGAGGGCCACCTTTGTTTACAGATATTACTGTGATAGCAATATTCTCCATGCTTACCTAAGAGTGACTACAGAGAGAGAGAGAGATATATCAGGATGGGAGAATATGTATGCTTTCAAGCTCTGTTGTTAATTTGTAAACAAAGTATTTTCTAGAGTGGGTGAGACAGGTGTGGAGTACCCCCCCCCCCTGCCCGCAAGCACAATTAGGTGAGTACACACTCACACACAACTATCTCCATACCTCAGAAAGGAAGATAACCATAAACAGACTGACAGCACGGAACAGACAGACAGACGTCAACACTGATCTTTCCATGCGCCGTTTGGTGCCTTAAATCTCCGTTCACCCGGACCAATTTGGAAACGCTCACTGAGCTCTGGAAAAATTTGCCTTTCTCTGTTGCACCAGCGGAGTGTGAAGCCACACGAGTGAAGAGCGTCCTTGCCGGCCCACCAGAATGTTGTTGATGCCCCTTGCGTGAGGACGTGGCCCTCCCCTCGTGGCAGTGCCACAGTCTGCTTGAGCAAAGTGACTCTAGTGACAGCGCGACCTCTTACCTGTGAAAGTGACAGTGCCATATCTTGCCTTTGAAAGTGGCAGTGCTATATCTTATCTGTGAAAGTGACAGTGCCATATCTTACCTGTGACAGCGCCATATCTTACCTGTGACAGTGCCATATCTTACCTGTGAAGGTGGCAGTGACATATATGTAGTGACAGTCGCACCTATATACAAATTAGCTCAGTAATGACCATTAGTGATGACCCCTGACTATGATAACGGGTTTAAGGGCGATTACCTCTTGTTTGCCTGTTGTTGCTTCCGGGGATCAACGTCCCAGCGGCCCGGTTTCTGGCCAGGCCTCATGGTTGGTGGTTCGGTCAACCAGGCTGTTGGACGCAGTTGCTCGCAGCCTGACGCATAGTGAAGTATCCCTTAGGTAAGTGGTTTTGTAATCATGTCTCTAAGTTTTTATTCAACCTGACTGCTCGTCCAGGCTTCGGCCGACCCCTAATCATCTTGCTAAGCTCGTCCAAGCTGCGGCCGACCCCAAAGACACAATCATTAATTTTCACAAATTGTGTAATTGAAAATCTTATTTTCTCAGATATAAATTAATATATTATAATTTTGCGTATAGTTAGCCTATGTTAGATTTGGTGGGGTTTTTTTGGGGGGTTTTCTTAATTATTTACATTTGCAGTACATAGGTGAAAGGAAGGTAACTATCAGGAGAAGGTGCCAAGCCATTAAGACTATATATATATATGTATTGAAACCAAAAATGTAAGTGAAGCACTGTTTTGGAAAATTTCGTAGGCAGGCAGTTACAAGGCATATGCTTAAGTGTTCTACATTCATCACAACACCCCGTCATTCATCGCCACAACTCGTCATTCATCGCCACAACCCGTCATTCATCACAACACCCCGTCATTCATCGCCACAACTCGTCATTCATCGCCACAACCCGTCATTCATCGCCACAACCCGTCATTCATCGCTACAACCCGTCATTCATCGCCACAACCCGTCATTCATCGCCACAACTCGTCATTCATCGCCACAACTCGTCATTCATCGCCACAACCCGTTTTTCATCGCCATAACCCCGCCCTCTCAATTAGCACGTCATATTTTGTACGTTGTCGTCCAAAACGGACACAAATTACAAACACTATGAAAAGCAGCGGCTTCAAAATTCCCCCCCCCCCCTTTTTCTGTAGGTTAGGTTAGGTTAGGTTAGGGTAGGGTAGGTTAGCACGTTTGATTATGTACGTTGGGGCAAATCATGACAATCGGGTGCATTAACATGGGCAGAACTGCGGGAGGGAGGGGGGCGTTTAGCGGCTGTTGGATTAACGAGCAGTTAGACTCGTTACCAGACCAGTCTATTGTTTACCTCTGAGACTCGTATGACTTGTAAGATTTATTTATGTAAGATTAAGTCCGTAAGATTTATGTAAGGTTATGGATAATGGAGATAATTTTTAAATAAAAATTCAATTGCGAAATATATATATATATTTTAAATTAATGTAACTTTTTATTTTTTAAAGGGTTTAATTAAAAATAATTTTAAGAAAAGTTTTTGTTTGTAATCATATAGAAATTGGATTTGGTCAAACCCACGTGATAATTCTTCAAGCTTTTGGGTTACAATTAGATAACTGCCTGATTTGGGAGAGAAGGTGATCTGGCTCTTACAACACGGGTGTTGACTGTTAAACAATTCCCCCAACACTGGCTATATAAGCTCTCAACCCCCCTGCCCCCTCAACTGCCCCCCTCTGTCTTACACCCAATGCTACAACCACGAAACCCCCTGTACCACCCCCCCCAACCCACACCTGCGACCTCACCCACACACCCTCCACCCACCCTGGGTAATCATCTTACCTTAGTTCGTGACAAAAGGGAAAGTGAACTTATATTAAGAGAAGCATCTGGCTCCTTTGTATCGTGTTGTTCTTTGAGGAAAATATTATATGGTGAGAGAGAAATGTTAATGGTATTACTAGTGATAATGGTGGTGTTAGTGATGGTACTGGTCATATCAATGTTGTTAAGGTGGCGGGTGCTAAGGATTAATGGGGCTGGTATATGGTGAAAGGGGTGATAATGGGGTTAAATTATGAAAGTATACTTAATGGATGGTCAGTAAGCTCTTGGAGTGCCTCTGGTGACCCTTCAGAGTAGTTGGATAGTGATACGGTTATTGGATTATTGATTGATGAAGATTAAGCCACCCAAGAGGTGGCACGGGTATGAATAGCCCGTACGGTTAATAGATAATGTAGAAGGGGTGGTGGAGTGGGTGTTAAGGGGTCGACGGTGGAGGGGGAGGGGTCGAGCAGGTATGCGTGGAAGAATGTCGAAGGGTTGTAGGGTGGTTGTCGAGGTCCTTTATTAATACAAATTTAAAGTATATAAGTCCATACAATTCAGACTTTGCTGAAAATGTCCATAATAAAACTTGGAATGTGAACAATGAGGCCTTACATAAAGTTAATATAAAATGTAAAGTAATTTGCATGTCTATAAATTAAAAGAAACACGTAGCAAAACAATAAAATAATTTTAAGCTACACATATGAACATGAAAATAAGTTGAACGTCATTAACAGATTGAAAGCATACTTTAGAGGTACAGTTCACTTTGAACACTGCTTGTGTAGCAAGCGTGTGACCTGTGTGTGTAATTAATATTTGTGTCTGCAGAAGCGAGCTATTAGCTCTTGGACCCCGCCTTTCTAAGCTTTCTAAGTGTGTGTGCGTGTGTTGTCCATTCCTTGCATAGGAGCAATAGATACAATCAGGTGTTGGAGGATGGCTTAAATTTCATTAGAATTTATACAACAGTAAATTCTTGTTGATTTACTGCCAACGACGCCATAGTTGATAAGAGAGACGAAGAGATGGATCCCTTCGAGCTCAATACTGACAGGAGAAGAACGTAAGTGAGAAGGAGAAGAACGCAAGTGCCGGCGCCATAGCTGTGCTATAAACAGTTGATACAATGTGTGTAGAGATGTACCTACACACATTCACCCTCCCCCCCCCCCCCCAACCACCTCCATTTGCCGCAACCCCCATTCCCCCCCCCCCACCCGCAGCCTCAACCTTCCCTTCCGCTATCCCCCCAACCCCCTCTCTTCCCCTTCTCATAACAACACTCTTACTTCAGCAGCAAACTAAGGAAGCAATACTTAGGCGGAGACGGACCAAAAACACTCCAGACGTCTCATAGTCTAGTGAGACTCCCCCCATTATGGGGGGAGTATACTCCCCCCATTATGGGGGGAGGAGGATGGTTGTGGGGGGGGGTTGGATGAGTTATGTGGAGAGGGGAGATGGTGGGTGTAGGGGGGAGGGTAGAGGGGGATTAATTTGGGAGATGGATGATACAAGGATGCAAAAGAGGGGATTGCACCCTGCTGAGGATATGCTAGCCTGCTACCCCCAGCCTACCTCCTCAAGGAGATAGGCTCAGGATAGTAGTGTAGAGGTAGAGGGTTTATCTGGGAGCGGGGTGACAAGGGCATGGGGCGGCCCCACCCAAGAGCTTGATGCAAGGACGCGACTTGATACTGTAAGTTGATAATGTGTTCCATCCTCATGTGGGCTAAGAATGTCCACTGAGACGTAAGACAGAGACTGTATCAAGACATTTCTAAAGATATTCTACATAACACTTTCACAGATAATTAAACAACATCGCTGGCTCCTTCATTTAAGATTTACACCTCTCTTGAATGTAGAACCATTGATGTAAAATGTTCTTCAGTACTGTGCTCGAAACTGGTAAACACAGGAACCTTATTACGCATGCAGAGTATAATTCATCACCTACACTAGACTAGTCCTGGAATATGCAGCCCCTTCGTGTAATTCCCATCTAAGAGGCATAGAAGGAAACTTGAAAAAATGAGGCTTACAATGTGGCTCGTCCTAGAATTCATGAAATGACGTACTTTATACATAATTGGTAATACATTTATAATTGGCAGATTTTTACATTAAAAATACAGTACATTAATTAGATAAAGAGTCACGTTACTGTGATTTCTCTGTGTACTGAAAAACAATATTTATTCGTAACAACTTATTGAAATCATTACAATACTGACTGGACTAAACAGGTTTACAGCGGTTTAAATCAACCTTATATTTGAGGCACGCAGTGAGCGACAATTTACAATATGAATGTTCCATCTGACGACGTTCGAAAATACAAAAGAGAGGCGACATATCCGAGGCACAAGGGAGGAAATGCCATCAGGCAAAGCTAGGAAATGTTTACAGGGAATACTAATGGAACTACAAGGTATGGATGGACATTAGAGACACATGAACCATTCAGAGATATGAAGAAAAACTAGGAAAATGGAACGAATTAGAGGTGGAGGAAGTCGTAACCAAATCCGCCAGCAACTTTCCAAAGTAGATATGATATGAAATATTTTAGCGATGGGTCACTGCATTCGACGAACCAGAATTTTGAACGGGTCCCGGAGTTGAAGCTTAATCCAGCGCACACACAAATAGGTTAGTACATACATACTGCATAACTGAAAGTAATGCATAAAGTACGAAACCCCTACAACAATACCCTAGCGATGAACAATTTTTGAAGACGCATTAGAACAGAGGAGGCTTGCAGAGAGCTACAGGTGAACCTAGACAGTGTGGGCTGTGAAATGGCCGCTAGACATTAATCGAGCAACTGTAATGTGAGAGGATTTGATACTGGGGTTGAAGATTGCTACATGAACAGAAAAGGATAAACGAAAGATAAATCCCGGAGTCAGAAAAGGAAAATAAGTGTATGGGAGCATATAAGAAAAAACTATTGTCATATGTTAACGGGATAACATCAACGGCGTATGCAAAGCTGGCGAAAATATATATATAAATGATTTACCTGGTGTAGCTTTGTGATATAGATCTGCAAGATCCTTTGCCTTATCCGACCCGAGTGACTGTTTCTCCATCGTGTCTCTTCCCTCCGATTCAAACTCACAATACATTGCACTTGCCTGGAATGAAGTCGAGCAGCCATTTCTCAGACTATCTTTGTTTTGTGTCCATACCTTCCCGAAGCACTGTGCACCCTTGCTCCATTCTGATCAAGCACGCGTGCAGGGTTTTAAGAAGAGCATTGATGTTGAAATGTTGTTGATCAGAAGCATTAGTTTTGGTGATCTCGAAATCAACCTCATAGGGGTTATTAAGTAAATTCTCAGTGTATATGCACCGAGAAACATATAAATATACTTGTGTGTATATATATATATAAATTTCCCTGTCCTGCCGATTTTGTGATGGGCTTAATGGCTATCAACCTCTAGAGACTAGAGGGATATTTAGGCTACCACAAGAGCTTCCTGACTACTCAGCAAATATACTTTATTCACGCATAATACAGAGCTAAAGAAA